CACCATGGCCAGTCAGCGTGCTAGGTAAGCGGTTGTAAGGATGGGCAGCGGATAATCCTACTACTTCCCTCGCTGTCACTCGCCGGGAAATGCAATGGCGGATCCGCCATTTTGGATGAACTGATCGGCCTTTCTAGCGAGGTCTTCGATGTCCCCATCGAGGATTGAAATGATCCCTCGAACTTGGGGTGGTAAGCGGTCAAGCCACAAATTCTTCATCACCTGTGCGCTTACGTTTGTGGTGGCTAAGGCTTGCATTCGATGCAGTAGCTGAGATGGCTTGAGGTCACCCAGCGTCATCTCCATCAATTGGCGAATTTTCTGGTCTGGGCTTGTTCCATACCTCTACAGGAGTCTACTTTTTAACTCTTCCTACGAGTTTCCTTTTGTTGGTGCTCTTAGAAGGTCGGCGACCTCTTGGAGGACCTCGCAGTTGAGGCTGGTCAGGGTGTTGTCGAATTTGCACTAGTCCGAAGTAATTTTGGCTTGCCTAAACTGGGCTTCAAGTCGCAGAAACCACAGCTCTGGTTCTGTTCGTCAGAATTCGGGTGCTTTAATCCCCACGCGGGCAATTATGGCCTGATCCTCGTTGGATTCGTTCATGGCGTTGCGTCGGTCAACTTATTACACAACACAGCTGGCACACAGTAGAATTTCACGCTATCCCTGTTAGAACGACTTCCACACCCTACTACTAAGCACGCAATTATTACTTAAAATACGCTAATGAGTTCCAGAAACAAAATGAATAAGAACAGAATTCAATGCACAAAAACTTATAAAAAATCACGGAAAGCAACTGAAGAAGATAACAGCAAGTCTATGTTTGCCCTCATTCCGCCATTTTGAATAACTTTGACAGGTCGTTGGAATGCCATGGAATGATCAAACAATCGGTAGTTGTTTAATTTAAAACTGCCGTTTTTGTTTGTCGTAGAACACATTTATAGGAACGTCATTTTGCCCATTAGTTATTATGTTTGTCTTTGCCAATTTTAGATGACCAGGGCCTGTATATATTATATTTACAATTTCGATGTCCTTACACATTGTAGTCTCGGTTCATTATTAATGGAAATAGGAATTTGTTTGCACCCTGTTGAGTAAAAAGCACATTTTCTATTACCATTAATAACCGAGAGAACATGTGTAGACACCGAAACTTGGGTACCCGGAGTATTTTGTACCTTTAAAAATTTTAAATTCCCGCTTCTAACTAGCCGATAATCTAGATACCTGTTTTTACCGTCAGAGCTTCCCGTTATTGACGGTCAGCCGGTTGTAGCGCAACGCGGTTCTAAGTTTTAACATTATACCCATATTATACCGCCACCTCTCCTACAGGGACCTGGAGTGGGAGCTACCACAGATTACAGAGTATAGATTGGACAGTTTTGCTTTCCCGCCAAAATGATTTTGCTAAATGCAACCACAGAGAGGCGGCGTCCAAAAATCCAGAGGATCATGTCCATAAGAGGACTCTGAACATACAGTACTTTACAGTTAAGATTATTCCGTCAATTTTCAATCTTTTAGTCTATCAATGTTTTTAATTCGCAATCATAAGCATTTTCACTAGTTTGATAACTGTGATATTTATCTTTGTTTTACAATAATGGAGCATAACGTGGCTCGGAGAATGACTAAGTGTGTTCGGAATTCTGTGATCTCTAGATAACTGTGAAGTTTATATGAGTTTTACAACAATTGAATATAAGGTAGCCAGATACCATCCGCTTCCAGTGTTGTGTTGTGTTTGTAAAAATCAAAATGGTCGACGATTTCGATTTCCTAAGAATCACTAAAATCTTGACCCGAAATAATTTTGCATCATTTCAGTCCAAGATATGGCCTGTACAGAAAATATGCAATAAAAGAACAGAAATGGCCGCAGTCCAAGGCTGGACGCTAAGACGGAAGGAGTTTTAGTGAGTAAACAGCTTGGCATGTGTGTAAACAGCATGTGCTTTATTTTCCCGATTTGTCCTACTTTTCACACGAACACAATTTTAGCAGGAGATTTGAATTAACTTTACGAACTCTGTGATTTCCCTTGAAGTTTCAATAATATTTCGAGTATCTCATATTGCCATTTAATTGTGATGTTAATTGAAGCCCTAGCATAAACATCACAATTAAGGAGCATGATGAAATGGTTGAAATGTTATTGAAACTTGAACGGAAATCACAGAGGTCATAAACTGAACTCAAATACCCCGCTTAATTTTGATGTGAACCCAATCGATAAAGAAGATTTCTTCTGCCAGTAGTGGAAATTAGAGTTTAGTTTTGATTGCAGCCGCTGAGATAAGCGACAAATAGCATTCTGCAGAGGTATACGGCAGTTTCCAATCTATAACCTCTCTGATCTGTGGGAGCTACTAAGAGAGTTTCTCACAAGGAAAGCGGCATGCCCCGGGCAATCTCACTTAAAAACCTAACTGAGGACGACTGATTTCATAGTCGCCAGAGGCGCTACAGACAATGAAGAACTACAGATTAAATCTTGAAATAACCCACTGTAAGAAAATATTTTGTGGATGAATGCGATAACGCAAGTCAATAAAAGTCAACTAAATCTTCCCCATTGTTGTTTATAGGTTTGTCATGGGCAAGATGTCGGTCGATGTTGATTATTTGCTATCATCCAAAGAAAAAGCCTATGCCGATTTTATTCATTTCTGACGATATAATCTGTGATAAGTTGTATGATTTCGTGCCTCATGCTTCCTGC